TTGGGGGCAATATGCTGACTCTCTGTAAACCGCTTAGAGAGGCCTGAAAGGCCTATGAAGCGGTATATAAGTCTACTGCTATTGCTATTGCTATTGCCCCCCCCCCAGGCTCCTCCTCCCTGGAAACTGGGGCTGGCATGGGGCTATGTTAGACTTCCTAACCAAAAACCTTTCTTGGTGGGTCACTTTGATTCAATTCTGCTGGGGTCAAGATGGAGGCTCTCTTTTGACAGCAAAGGGAGGGTATCTCAGACAAGGAGGGTGGAGATGAGGCCTAAGAAAGAGCTTCCAGGTCATTAGAAAAAAGCTGATGAGAACGTTACTTAAACCTTTAGAATCTTGATTAAAAAGATAATTGTTAGGACTGAACCTCATTGGGAACAGAAAGGAGATTAAGCTGCACTAGAACAATTTGTGAATGGAAATAGGTTTCCCAGGTCTCCTTGGAATAAAAACTGTGAATAGAGGGATAATTCAAGCTTTACTACTACATATAATGATAATAAACAAAGACATTGCATTGGGTTCCAGAATAATCTCACTCCGAACCTCACCGCTTCCTTTCTTAACTAAAAGGTGGGTTTCCAGCTGCTAAAGGAAATAAGCAGTTTGGATCGAGTCCTGAAGTTAATTTGTGAATGCCCGAGCAGAATAGTTCCCACTGAACTCCCCCAATCTTGGACGACCGAAACAATGCATGGTTTCATATAGAGAACTCCCCTCCCATCAGCTCCTTTGTCCAACTTGGGAGGGGGATTTCCCAGAACAAACTCACCATGAAGGCCCGCTTCTCTTGGGCTGTCTGGAAGCAGCCGTGGCCAAACTTGGAGGTGGTGTCGATGAATTTCAGCTCCACGGCCTCCAGAGCTTTTCGGCTTGTGTGGACCAGAAGGGACTGGGGAGGCAGGAGGAAAGGGTTACAGCAGAAGCCCAGAAGAGAGGCAGCCATGAGCCCCAGAATGGGGGAGGCGTCTCCAGGCAACAGATCCAAACACTGGCTGGATTCTTTCCAGGAAACCAGCACAGGGCAGAGGTCAAAATGTTGGTCTTGGATCGGGGAGGCAGCTCCCTCCTCAGCCCTAGAAGCTCAGCAGGCTAGGCAGGTCTCTGGGCCAGGCACATTTTCTCAACTCAGGGGTGTGTGGTGGCAATGAAGTGAAGGGGGACCCCCTTTTCTGCTGCCTTGATCAAAAGTCAGGATATAAGTGTAACAAATGCACATAATCCGGGAGCTCTGAGTTCATAGTGGAGGGCAGCTACAAATCTATGGGGCAGATTCCCATGACCCTCCCTGAAATTTAGTGCTCAGAATGTATTTTAACTAATGCACAATCATTGCCCATTGTGGAGAAAGAGCCAAACAAATTTAATAAATAAAGATTGCAAAAGCTTTCATAGGTGAAATTGAGCCCAAAACTAGGTACAGACTAGAGGGCCTAGATACTTGACTTAGCTAATGATGAATAAAAATATTTCTTTTTGTTCCTAACATCTATTGCCTCCTGTGTGTCTTCTGAGAAATTCAGGCCATTTCTGTAGGGGTTTCAATGTATTTCCCATCCCATTTTGTGGTGATCCCTGCACAAGACTCTAGCGTGCAAGCAATGGAGTTGCTGAGCCTCTCACTGATGGCTTCCAGGTTTGCTGTCCTCCTCCCAAAGCAGCTGAAACGCTCATTTGCTCAGGCTGAATCCTCCCAGCCTCACCCACCCTCTGGAGAGCAACAGAAACCCTTGGCATACCACCTTGGATCGGTCAACCCCCACAGACAACCCTCCCACCGAAGAACCACATTGTCCTTCATCCCTGGACTTCACAACACTTCAGTGAGGCCCTCACCTTCCTCAGGGTCAGCACCCGCTTCCTGGTACCCAACACACAGCCCTTCACCATCACAAAGTCATTGTTGACTTCACCATACTGAGGGAATCCACCCTGGAAGACAGAAAGGTAGAATGGACATCGGGGTGAGGGTGGTATTTATTCATTGATGACCCCATAGATAGCGGTCCTCACGAGAAAATACGTGGGAAGCATGTAAGGGCATTCAAAAGAAATGGCTGCGAGTGTGACAAAGAAATTTCACCATGCACAAAATGGCTGCCTTTGCAAGGATGGCCAATTGTAAACATGCCAATGCCATGACTAGAATACTTTTGCTTATCACGCCCCCTGTCAACTTATTCCCATTTTCTAGTTGCAGTCATTTTATAAACTCATTGATGGGCACAAATGGAATCCTAAAGCATTATGGTACTTAATGTGCAGAAAATTCCAAAAGCAGCAGGCTGCTTCCTAGCAATAGCAATAGCCCTTAGACTTATATACTGCTCCCAGAGCTTTACAGTCTCAGATTGTTGACCCCAACAATCTGGATCCTCATTTTACCCACCTTGTAAGGATGAAAGGCTTGAGCCAGTCAGGGTCAAACTCCTGGCTGTGGGCAGATTCAGCCTGCAATACTGCATTTTAACCTCTGTGCCAGCAGGGCTCCTACAATTATAGCATTCCATGTGGGTTTTTAAACTTAAAATGAAACTTTTTAAAAAGTAGAAGATGGCAGCAAATGTCTACAGGCATGGTGCTCAGATGCCTGGTTGGTAACCACAGGCCCAGAGGGATGTCTGCAGGGTAGATGGTACATGAAGAGGATTCGTGATGAGACATCCAAAGGATTATTCTCCAGCCAGAAGAAATAACCTTTCTTCTGACCTCCTTACCAGTGGGGTGATGGTTTTCTCCGTTGGGTCATAATTGGTGGATGCATTGTTTCTGATCACTTTGCCATCTTCTACATGGATCCCACGGCCGATGCGGTAAACCTAAAGGAAAAGAGATTTGGCCAAAATGATTTTCCAAGTTATCCAACAAACAGGAGAATGAAAGCTGGCCAATGATGCCTAAGCCCTGCCTCCTTTTGAACACTTGATTCCAGGCCCTCAATCCTGCTCTTACGGGCCACATCAGCACAAAGGAGGCACCAGATGCTGCATTGTTCCAGTCCCCCCTGCCCCACCAAAATCAGATTTTCTCTGAGCTGCTGAAAGCTGCTGCTTATGCACTCTAGGAGCAAAGAGCTCCTCTGAGTTGACGCCTGGAGATGCCTGAGTTGAGCCTTTGCAAGCGCACTTTCAAAATATGGCATTATATAAAGGCTAGCACTAATGTTGTGAGAATAATCTATAGGGAGGAAAGCAAGAAGGAAAAAAGGTAGATTATATGGGACAGATACCTTTGGGTTGCAAATATAACAGTTTTTTATATAATAAATTATGTAATAGATTATATTTAAAAGGGAGGCTTCAGTTGTTAACACTTCAAACGTTACATATCATTGTAATATTAAGTGTTCACCTACAGAAGGCCAAGTAAAAATGACATAAAGAAGCTCTTCTAAAATCTTGGACCTCGTTGTTTCTTGCTACCAATTTCTTGGTAAAAACAACAACCCCCTCTCCCATCTTGCAGAAGTTGCAGAATTCGAGCTGTGCTTTGCACAGGATTCCCCAGAATTCTAACAGCAACTTCAGCAAGAAATGAGAAGTTGCAGTCCAGCCATATCTGTAAAATTGGTCTAATCCCGAGTTCTCGGTTCCCAGATGAGCTTTGCTAAGCCCGATAGCGTCACAACCTACCAGTCATATATATCTAAGGTGACCCGATTTTAACAAAATCCGGACTTTTTAAAAATGCCGCAGGACACGGGACAAATTTTTCAAAAGTGGGACTGTCCCGCCAAAAGCGGGATGTCTGGTCACCTTAATTTAGATGCCCCTCAAAGGCAAAACTCAGGGGGCTGAATTCTACAGGGGGAGGAGTAAAGGGGGGGATTTGAGGGGCAGCCCAAAGCACCCTCTGTCTAAATTTGCATCAGGCAGGCAGTAACATTTTCATAGAACATGATCAGAGGAGCAGGATCATAGGTCTTTCTTCCTTCTAGCCTTCCTCCCTTTCCATTCTTTCTCCTTCCATCCTTCCTCTTGCCTATCTACCTTCTGTCTTTCTGCTCTTTAGATCTCTCTTCCCCCTTCCTTCCTCCTTTCACCTTCCTTCCTTCCTTCCTTCCTTCCTTCCTTCCTT